GTTGGTGGTCCCAAACAGGGAGGCAGAAGCGGGTGGGTTTGCGGGTTTGCAACCAAAAGGAAACCCGAGCGGGTCATTGAATCAAACTCGCGGCACGACGTGATCAGCGACCTGTCCAACGCAGCTGTGGGGCGGGTGGCGATGGCGACGGTTGCAAGGTCTGAGAACAAACAAAGGGATGCGTGTGTCTTAGTTTCACGCAAAAGATACCAGAAGGCTGCGCTGTTCAAAGGGAATCCTTAATCCTTACCTTCCGTTACGCAACGGGGTCCCTTTTGTAGTGGCTTCCCTATAGGGATTGTGGAAAGCCGGATTGGCCAACCCTCCATTTTGGATTCGCGTTTTGCCGTCATTTTTTCCCCGGGCCTGCAAGGCGCGCGGCGAGTCAGATGAAGTTTTGGTCAGAGTGGCTGGCAGCCTGATAGGATGGTCTCGCGGAGACTGTGAAGGCAAGCACAGAGCGAAGAAGCGCCTATACCTGGGGGTAGCTTACGAGCGCAAATGTTTTTTTGTTTTTGTTTTTTTGTTTTCTGGTTTCGGGTTCAACAATTTGCAGACATTGCTGAGAAGCTAGGCCAAGAAGGCCCAAGTCAGGGTGAAACATGCCCTAGGTCCAGAAGCATCAGTCGTTTGGGTCCTTCAATTTGCAACCAGGCCTCTTTTGAGAAGCGCACCATTTTGTCCTGGCAAATATGTGTTTGTTGATTTGCTTCAATTTTCCAGAAGGTCCACTCCAAAAGACGCCAGAAGAAGCCAAAGGGAGGGGTCAAGAAGTCAAGGCCGGGACAAGTCTGGATGTGTCGAAGGATTTGTTTGCCGCGGCAGCGGTTTCCTTTGGTGTCCCTTCAACTGGTGCTTGGTTGCAAGCCGAAAACTGGAGCTGGGCATACTCATATTTGCTTTCGACGCAGAAGCCATCCAGAGCTACTAGGAGTTCTGGAAGGATATGGTAAATACAGGCAAACCGGGTCCGGATCCCATTTTGAGAAATGCTGCTTTCAGGAATTTCAGATTCAATTGCGCACATCTATCTGCACTTGTGACAGGCTATTTGGGATGCGCCAGAGTTGTTTAAACAACCCCCAGTACGGTCCCTTTAAGGGCAGGCAAAAGGAGGTTTGTGTCCGATCACAAATGGTTTGAACGTGCCCAATGGATCCCAGTTATACTCCTTTCGTTGGCAACCCTTGGCCATGTTCTTTTCTTGTGCAAAGGGTCGGAACCCCTTGCTGCTTCAACGAAATGGGGTATGTACCTCATATGCAGTGGTTGCATACTGACTGTATACCCTTGTTTTCCCCTGCCCTATATAGGTGTGGCTCAAAATTAAACCACCAGAGCCATTGTCAAGGTTCTATTTTGGGTACCGATTTTTGACCCACACGCACATTTGCCATGACATCACCTCACACCGATGGGAGCTCACTTGGCCCAACACGTGATGTTGCCATGAAGCCTCTCGACTCTTCGGTCCGAGGTGCGTGATGAGACTCCTTCGACCAGAGGCTTGGGGCTCGGCGGACCATTCGCTCGAAGCCATGTGGGGTGGACAGCTAATGTTCATAGGAGCATGGAAGGCTTTTTTGGTTTTTGTCGAGGTACTCAAGGTGTATGAGTCCATATATCCATTCTTGGTCGACTCTTGTGAAAGGGTTGTCAGAGCAACTGCCGCAAAAAAGACAAACATGAACTCATCTCTAGGGGTTGTTTTGATCTCAGTACCAGGGGTTCATACCAGGGGTTCCTACGAAAGCCATTTCGCACCACTTTGAAACCGTGGTTGAAACCATGTTGGAATGATCGGAACCAGGGCTTCTGAACGGCGGTGCGAAATGGATTTCGCAACCATCCACAGTGCTAGGGGGTCGGGTGCCTACAGTGGGGTTCCACGTTGCGCGCTGGTTCCAATCCACCAACCGTCCACCAACCGAGGCGCCACGGCGATGCTCGAACAGCTGACGCTGGCCGGCACTGCAAGCAGGTGCCATGGCCAGGAAGAGGTGGTTGAGTGGTTTTTGGCGACCCTCCCGCCCTGAACCACATAGAGCCTGACCTGAGACCAACCCGAGACCAACCCTAAACTAACCCTCCTGGTTTGGACCATTGTCCTTTTTAAAGGGATTCCCGAACGTCAGGTTCCGTGTAAAAAGGGTGGGAGGGGAATTGGGAGGATTTCAATTCTTTCGAAAGGGACGCCTCAACTGGGCACTGGAGGTGAAAGGGGCTCAACTCAATGGGTTCCGCTGGGTTCGGCTCAGTTCGATTGGCATGAGAGCTCGAAGGGTTTCACGGGTGGCTTTGGTTTCCTTTCTGGCTAAGGAGCCTCATCCCTCCCGACCGCGGTCTTTCGCGAGATCTAGTTTTGGGTTGCAGTTTGGGTCAACGTTTCTCCGTGGCCCCCCCCGCAAGAGCGGGACAAGACTTGGATTTCAAAATCCAGGGACACAACAGCTTTGGTTGCTAGGCTCACATCAACCGACGGGGGGTTAGTAACCCTGCTCCAAAGTAATGCAGGGACGTAAGCCTTACTTTGTGAGAACCAAAGGCATATTTTTAGGACCTGGCTCGAATGTCCAGACACGTCGCAGAAGCTTCGCGTGGGCAAGGGTGGCCAGCCACTGGTTTGCCTGGGAGATGCCTGCTCCAGGACGAATTTATATATGGCAGCAAAACGTTTTGGTTTCTCCTTTTTTTTCCAGGGCGTTAGCAAACCGGTCACCAAAATGAGAACTTTTTTTTGTCTGCTGGTGTTTTTGTTAATTTCTTTCTTGCTGATTGAATCGACCAACCTTGGTCATAGCCCTTGGTGGTCGCACCTGCGGAAAAACGAGCGATCCCATCCTTTGAGCAATTTGTGCCATGCCGGGGTGTAGGTGAAGATGGGCGTTTTACAGGGTTTCTGACTGGTTTCCCTTTATAGGGGGCAGTCATTTACCCAGACTCATCAACATGATGCTGTTCGCAAGGCCCAGGCCGGCCATTCCGATCTATTGAAAGGAGAGAATCGCTCCTAGAGCCACAATCGAGTGCGGTAGCGTACTTCAAACCAAATCTTGATTTATTGCAGCAAACGATTTGTAGTTAGCCCATTTCACACACGAGCGGGCCCCAAAACCCATGTTTTCCATCCCCTGAAAACCCCCGGTATCAGACAGGGCGAATGAGTCGGAGAATTCTCCATACAACTTATGAGCATCTGGGGCTCCCCATCTGAGCCACGGTCATATTCAACGCCCATTTCTCTAGGGAAAGCTTTCGGGTCCCGGGGCCTGTTCCTCCCGTGAGGGAAAAAAGCGCACCTCTCGTTGGTTTTGAGCTGCGCAGGCCCAAGGCGAAGCTGGAGGCGGAGATTGAGCGGGGGCGCCCAGGGGCCCAGGGACTTCGCCCGGCCGTGGTGGCCACGAAAAATTAGGCCGAGGTCCTTGAGCGAAGAAAAGGAGCAGGGGAGATGAAAAGGTTCTTCGACCAGAGGAGGGGGGGAGTGGGCTGAAAGTGGTTTGTTTCTTCTTCGACTGCTTGCAAGTGCTGCCCTTTTGATCCCGCGGATAAAATGAGAGACGCCTGGCAAAGGCTGGTTTCGAGGGCGGAGAAGCTGGAGTTCCCACCCATCAGTTTTCGGAGGGTTCCGACCAATTCAAGCGCGCTCAAGCGAACATCAAGTCTCTCGTGAATCAGTTGCACACCAAGAAGCGGAAGCTCTTCGGCCATCAAGGCCCTTGTCTATCCCTTGTCTCTCAAAGAGCCAAAACTGAGATGCTGGCAAACCCTTGTCCGCCTGCAACGGGCGCAGCGCAACGGTTCAGACTAGATGAACGTCTCCTGGTGCTTTTGCCTGTAGAGGTCTTTCAGTATTCCTGGCTGCACTTCTGCAAAGCAGGGATATGGGTGTGGGTCAATATTGAGCCACCAGGGGACCGCAGATTTGAGTCCATGTTTCCATTTACCAGGGTTCCATTTCGGTGACCTAATTTTGACCCACAGCCATATCTTTATGCTTCACAGGGTCCTCTTTGCCCACTTGCATTCTTTGGGGAAATCAGCCGCCGGCGCGCTTCTCCCAGCCCTCGTTGGGCAAGAGATGGCTTCTCCAGACAGCCGACTTTGCGCCAAGGTTGTTACCCTCCCCCAGACGATTCCATGGAAGCTCCCAGGACTTTGGAAGACTTGGTCCCATGTTAGTCTGGGGGAGTGTACGTGAGCTGACCCTTTGGCGGGGTGAAAACCTGAGGCTGCGGTGTTGCCCGAACACCTTGCACCCCAAAACAAACAGAGAGGCCCCTCCGTGACTGTACGGCCTTCAGTTTGCATTCGGCTTTCTTTCCTCGTGGGAATGTTATGCGCTTTGTTTTTTTTGGGGGGGAGAGATTGAAGCAAAACCGTTGGCCGTATGTTTCGGTTTACGCAGCCCATGTTTGGCCCAACAAATGTTTTAAGCTTTCGGGTTTCGAGAGAGTGATTCATCGGGCTGATTTTTTTCGCCGGAGCTTCAACACATCTGCCAATTTAGAGCGAGCTCACCGATTCGGTACCGAGCTTGCCACGATAGTAGTCCTTTGCTCACAGACAATAGGTTTTGGAATTGATACTGTAGTTGTCCGACAGCCGCTTTTAAGATCAAGCTTTAGAAGTGAAAGGAAACAGAGCGGGGCACTCAATTAGCGCAACATAGGTTATGAGCCCAAAACACTGATCCTGGCGACGGGGGAGGACTTCAGCCGCAGCAAGGGGTGATGGACATTCCGCTGCCGGAGGATGCTAGCGGCTCAGAAGGTCGCATGGAGCTCTACCGCAAGCCGGAGAGGCACGGCGCGGAAAGGGGCGAAGGCGGGAGACAGCCGACGTGGACGGAGGGGCCGCTGACTCCAAGGTCCATGCGGCCGCTTTTCAACCCGGAGCAGATGGAGAAGCTGAGGTCCTGGGAGGAAGCGCCGCTGATTCACGGGGTCAGGATGGGCCAATGACGCCCTCAGCATCCTGCGGTGGAGGACAGCCAGGACGAGATGTTCAAGGTGATCAAGGAGCTCCAGCACGACAAGCTGGCCAAGATGAGAAGGTGTGGAGGACAAGTTCGGCACTCCGGAGAGCGGGAGAAGGGTGCCATCTTGGTGCAGACGATGATGATGATGATGATGATGATGATGATGATGATGATGATGGGTCGTCGGAATTGCGGCCTGGTAGTGAGCCTTGGAGACTGGATGAGGAGCCCATTCTTGCGGACCTCTCGGACTCTGCCAGCATGGTGGGGAGCTGTGGGGCGCGCGGAGAGCACCCTGGAGAAGCTGAAGAGTGCAGGTGAAAAAAGGTGCAAAGAAGACTGCTGGCCAATCGCGATCAGGCGCTGACGGCCTTTCGGATGCTGTCCCGACTTCAGTGCCGCGGAGCGATCTTGCCCGTGAAGGTGACGGGAGGACACGAGGGTGGCAACCAAGGATCTGGGGAGAGGCTCATTCGGTTGCGGGACGAGAAGAAGGTTCTCAACTTCGGGCGGTGTTGGTGAAGAAAACCGAAGAGATGGACGGAACCAATACACGAGAAGGCGCACTACCTGTCGCCGGCGCGGTCAATTCCGATGGACACGCTGTACTTTGTCAAGATGGGGGAGTGCAAGTAACCTCGTATGTTCTCCACAGATGGGAAAAGGCGCGATGTTGAAGAGAAGGACCAAGCCAACAGAGGGTCAGCCAGTCTGGGTGCCCAGCCAAAGGCTGGGAGGAGTTGAGTGCCTCTTCTTTGACCGGGATCAGATGACGCATTGCAGAGACGACTGCGGCCAGACCGCATCTCAAGGAGAAGCTTTGGTGCTGCGCACGGTGCTTCCGAAATGAGGTGGAGCGGGACGACCCCTTCACGGATGAGCACGGAGGACGGAACCCCGCAGGAGGATCACGCCGGTGCTCAGGACAGAGTTTGGGCTCCAGTGCCACTGCACGATGAGCTGCCCGTCGCTGGCCCAGACGCGCCACGTTCAGGTGTTCGAAGAGATCAAGAACGCCATGGAGGTGGTAGATGAGCGGCTTGAGTCAGAGCCGCCGCGCGCCTTTCGGCACCAAGCCGGGAGGAGTCTGACAGCCGCTTCAATCAAGTTTGGAAGCGGCGCGCTCAATTCGCAACATAGTAGTAAAATCTGCAGAAGCATACCGCCTCGCAAATAGCTAGTGTGGACGACGACACGTTTGGGCTCTGTCAGGAAGAATAACATCTGGAGTGACTCAATGGAATTATATGGCACAATTGCCTCTTCTTGCTTTATAGGTATCCCCCCTCAGCCGTGCCATGCACCAGACCTTTTGAGAAGGCAAGTCGTGCTTCCAAGGGGTTTTCTTGTTGCAGTTCTTTAGAGCACGTAACTTCTTTCAACATGAGCAAACTTCCCCCGACTTCGTTGGGCTGCGCTTGCTGGAAGGTCCATGGGTGCCACCTTGGAGACCAGCTTTGGCCGCGAGCAGCCCGGGGCTCGGGGGCAGGCGCAGAACCCCGGGCAGCATAGACGTCGCCCGGGTGTGCGGGGAGAAAGGCGAATCGGGGAGCTTGGGGAAGCCGGGGTGTAAGATAGGAGCCTCTGTAAACTCGCTCCAAAGCAGGGACTCAAGTCTCGAAATTATGGTTTTCTTTTTGCTGGTCTCTCCGGCACCAGGATCGGAAAATGTAGTTGTACCAGGGCTGCTGGGCCCACATTGGCTGGTTTTTTAGGACCGGGGTGGGTTTTTTTGAAAAGCAGCCCCTGGCACCCTTTGGCAAGGCAAAAGGAGGCTGGTTCATCAATGGCGGTTCAAACATGTTCAAAAATTCTTGTTTATAATTTCTCATGGTTGGGGCCCCCCAAAGTGGGCCTTGGCCAGCTGGTGGAAGAAACTGCTCTAAGGACAGGGTTGCTTCCTTCCTACGACTCTTCGCGTTTTGGCCTTGCACGGCGCCTTCCTGGCGTCAGTAAGCTAGCATCCAGCCCACGGTCCCCAGTCACAGGTGCCCGTTTTAGCGTCAGTGTTGAACAAGTCGGACACCTATGGCCCTTTGGTGCCATCCAGAGCTACTTGGACCCATCTTGCCTCCCAACCATCACGCGCTGTTTGGCTTTCATGGGTTCGAACCGGCTCAGTACCACCTACAACATGACGGTGTTCAAGCACGACTTGGCGCAGGCCCGGAGACAGGAGTTTGAGGGTCCCTGATTTTGGTTGCACCCCACAGGCATTTTTGAGAAAGATTTGAGCCACTTCTCTTTTGTGGCGAAGCAGCCGTGGCACTTAAGTTTTCACTGACTATATGATTGGTAGTCTGCAGTTGGTTTTGGGAGGACATGGGGTACAGTCCAAATGCCACAAACGAGGGCGACCTCCCCCGCATTTTTGCGGGGACACAAGTAAAAGTGTTGCGGACCAAAGCAATCAACTGGTATTGCTTTAAGAACCTTGGAACCTCAACAAAATCCTTTGTGAGTGAGATCTTGCTTTTTGTGGAGGGGGGGGGGACATTTTTTTCGACTCTTGGCTTTCCACCAATTCGTTCGTCCTGCTTCAAGGTGATGTGGATTTCGGCATTTGCACCAAGCAAGAGTTTCACTTTGAGGATCGACCAGTTTGTAGGTTGAGACGAGGCCAAGCCGGGGTATGAGTCGGACCTCCGCACAGGGCGTGGAAATCCTGCAGGATATGGTCACCAAGCCGGTCGCGGGCTTGAGTCAGCTGGGTGCAGAAGGGGCCCTCAATCGCCCGTGTTCCGCGTGGCTGCAGCAGACACCACTCAAGCGGCCAGATTCACTTTGTTCCAGCGAACGCATGCATGAGCTGAGAAGCCAACAGACAATCCTTGCCGTCGGGTAGCAGAAAGGAAAGGTCAGAACCTGCAATCGCCGTCTTGTTTTTGCATCGTTTCTTTTTCAAGCAGCAACAGCTGTTCACTTGCAGGACGTCGAAGTCTGGCGAGGTCATAGGGTTCCGAGGGGGTTTAAGTACGTGAAGGAAAGCAGCTTGGCAACCTCGTCCAGGTGCCCAACCGACTTTATTCTTTCAGTTTCTCCTTGGCCCATGTTCTGTCATGACCCCAGGTGTGTCCCCTGGGCAGGACCCAACTTTCCCATGTCCTTCTGAGTAACGTTCTGGACCATGGGCCGCGGGAGTGCTGGAGCTGTCAGGATCAGGATGAAATATTAAGCAGCGACTCATGTTGCTGTTTGAAAGGTATTGCCTTGATGGTTCAAGGATTGGGCCGCATTTCACGTGACCAGACACCCAAGGAGTACTAAACTTGTACAATACCAAGAACCTCGTAGGGGGGTTGCTCTGAAACCACAAGGGTAGACGATTTGTATTGCCCAGATGGACCCTTCTATGCTTCTGAGGGTCCCCTGAAATATCCTCCCGGTTGGGTGGGTCCTTTTGTTTGCCGTTTTCAGCAGCCAAACTACCCTTGCGACTGTTTTTTTGTCGAGGAGCAGGATCACTCAGTGACTGATGGGCCACCAAGCCCCACAACACATCCCCTTTGGGAGAACTCGGATTGGCCAAAACTGGAGGTGTGGTTTGTTGGAGTTTGTTTCGCTAACTTTGTGATCTGCATCCAGCGTCTTGCCTATCGTTTGAAGCCCCCGATGATTGGTACATAAACCCCCCTACCCCCATGGCCAGGCGGGAAGTGGTCAACTAGACCTCGCGGCAATGTACAAACACCATGGTGATCACGTGTTCAGCAAACCTGACTTTTGTGGGATCGCACGCATATGGCTGTGGGTCAGAACCAATGGTACCATTTTGGGGTAGGTGCACCACCCATTTTAGAACTGATTTTAGTGGTTGGATTGGGATATGAGGGCTAACCGGGATTTTGACCCATGGCCATTTGGAGAGCCACCCTTGTCATTTTGTTGAGGGGTCATGTGTTCTGCCATGCTCCCCCAAAACATGGGAGAATGCCGCTTGCCATGTATGGCGAAGTCGACCTTTCTCGTTTTCTTTAATATTTTTTCCTGGATTTTACCTTATCTGGCTTCTTAGCTTCTTGGCTTTTTGGCCTTTGGCTTCTTGGAGTCTGGGCCTTTTTGGCTTTTGGCTTCTTGGCTTTTTGGTTTCCTGGCTTTTGGCTTTTGGCTTTTTGGCTTTTCGGCTGTTTGGCTTTTTGGTTTTTTGGTTTCCTGGCTTTTGGCTTTTGGCTTTTCGGCTTTTTGGCTTTTTGGTTTTTTGGTTTCCTGGCTTTTGGCTTTTTGGCTTTTCGGCTTTTGGCTTTACTTTTTTTGTGGCTTCGGCTTTCGGCATCCTCAACATCACCAGTAACACCCCAGCATCACCAGCTTTTGGCTTCTTGGATTTTTGGTTGGTGGCTTCTTACCTCCCAGGTTTCTGTAGATGGGGGGGGCTGCCCCCCCCCCCAACCCCCCTGCTTCATCATATGGCTGTTGTTTGGCTTTGTGATGACCTCAAAAGGCAAGCCGAAAATCCTGAACGAACCCCAATGAATCCAATGCCCACCCTAAACCCACGTTTTGGCCCCAAAACCACCTTAAACCAACCCTAAACCACCACTAAACCCACCCTAAACCGCCACTTAAACTAGAACCAACCTTAAAACCAAACCAGCCAACCCCAAAGAAAACCCAAAGAAACCTTAAACCAGCAAGACTCCCTAAAGAAACTTCTAAACAAACCCACTCTAAGCCAGTAATGGACTATCCCTAACCAACTCAGAACCTACCCCAAACCAACCCTAAACCCCCAACCACCCTCAAACCCACCATAACCCCACCTGAAAGCAACCCTACGTCCGCACTAAACAAGCCTTAAATCACCCCCCCTAAGCAAACCCTATACCAACACCAATCCCTACCCCCCCCCCTAAAGCAGCACTAAACCCAAACTACACCCGCTCTAAGCCCACCCTACACCAACCCTGAACAAACCCGAAGCAAACCCGACACCAACCACCCCGTACCCCCCCAAACAAACCAAACCAACAGTAAACTATCCCAAAGCCACCCTGAACCTATCCCAAACCACCCTAAGCCCACCTAAACACAACCACAGCCTGAACCAACTCTAAACCCACCCTAAACCAGCCCTAAACCCACCCTAAACCAACCCCAAGAAGCCCACCATAAACCAGCACTGATCCATCCCAGTACCTAAAGTGCAGCCATCCCCAAACTTTCCCTAAACAAGCCTAGAACCCACCCTGAACCAACCCTAGCCAACCTTGAACCCACCCTAAACCCAGCCTAACAACGCCAACTCGTGATTCTAAGGATGGTGAAAAGGGATGCTGCAGAATTAAAACGATGCCGGGGATGTTGGCAGCGCTGGTGCAAAACGAGTCAAACCAAGCAGAACCAAGGCAGATCGCATGTGCCAATTCC